AGCAACTTGCTTTTGTAGTCACTATGAGAGTACATTTTTCTGTCAGTTGGCTGTTGTCTTATTTAGAGTCTTAAGTGTCATATTTTGAACTCTTTTGGTCATTATCTAAGAGCTCTTTATTTGCTATCAGAGACAATTAAGAAAATTTAAGCACTTTAAACTGAGTTGTTACTGCATTGGGGCAAAGTATTGTTTGCTTCTGAATTTCAAAGGTTATTTCTTTGTTAGTAATCAGTCTCTTGTTAAGTCTATAAATAATGTTTCAATTTTATCCTATATCAAGTATCTGCCTCCTAAAGAGTAATAACTTTTTATAAATATAATACATACAGGTAATAGTTTTAGCTCTTATGCCAAGAAATACCTCACTAACACGTCTTATTTTATGTAGTGTCAGAAATTTGGAGAGTATCACAAAGATGATCCAAGTTCCTTCAGATTTTCAGAAACTTTCTCCCTCTATCCACAGGTGAGTAGATAAAAAGCCCATGTTCTTTTCTTAGTGTTGCCAATAGTATTGGGCTTCAGTTTTCTTGTTATTTGTCTTTTATTACTCATCTTACAAGACATGTTGTATTGGGTTATTCTTTTGGTTAGGTTAAGTTTTGTGAGAGTTAATAAATTAATATTGTGTTGTGAGTGGTCAGTGAAAAGTGTATAGTATTTTTATATTGACCTTGCAAATAGCCATTTATTTGTGGTGAATAGAAATTTATACTGGAACCTTACTGTGGAATAGAATTAGTTGTAAAGCAGATTAGCTTTCTGGTATACCAAAAAAAACCAAACCTGTTGCCATCGAGTTGATTCCGACTCATAGTGACCCTGTAAGACAGAGTAGAACTGCCCCATAGGATTTCCAAGGAGCTACTGGAAACCGCTGACCTTCTGTTTAGCAGTCAAGCTCTTAACCACTGCACAACTTGAGCTCCTCTATCTGATATACAGAAGTCTAATTACAACAGTACCAACTCTTACAGCATGGTCTCATCACATGAGAACCATTTTGTGGTGGCATACCAGATAAATAGAAAAGAAGCTAATTTAAATTACCTTACAGAACCTTTTTCTATTGGGGCAGTGGCATTTATCCCTTCATCTGTTGATTTGATAGCTATTCTTAAAAGTCTAGGTTGTTAAATTTTATTGTGAGTAACAGAGATAATGTTTATACAACTGAGTACTATGTGCAAGGAACTTTAGGAGGCTAAAGATGACTGACATGGATCCCACTTTCAAGGAGCTCTCCGTCTGAAGGGTGAGTTCTGAAATATATATAAACAATACAACAGAAAGTGAGAAACATATATAAACAATACAACAGAAAATGAGAGATATATATAAACAATACAACAGAAAATGAGGTATATATATAAACAGTACAACCAAAAGTGAGAAAGAGAAATTTTGTAAGTCTCTATGAGAGATATACAAAATTTAAAGAAAACTTAAAGGAATCCTTCTAAATGGGTGATTTGATACACCTTTATAGAGAAGGTGGCATTTTAGCATAGCCTGAAAGGATGAGTAACACTGAGATGTGTGGAAATTTGAAGTTTTGCCCACAAAAACTCCATTTGTCTAAAGTTTCAACCTTTTCAGAGCTGTTCTATGAAGATCCCTTATTCTTCAGTAACCTAGAAACTACCTGTTTATGGAAGGAGACTTCCCTAAACCTCTGGTGGAGTTCTGTGGAATCAGGAAAAGGCAATTACTCTGCTATTAGGGTACATTTATCTTAAGACATGTGAAACCCTTTCTCTGTTTTGGGAATTTTCAGGCCTCATCCTTGTAGCAGAAACCTGTTGGAAAGGGAGTGAGAGTATCTGCCTAAGTATTTGACTAAATTCTCCTCACTTCTTTTCTCTCCCTACTCTAGACCTTCTTTTTAGATTTTTAGATCTTTAGCGATTTGGGTATCCCATCTTTTCCTCTTTACTGGAAGTAGGGACTGAAGAGCTTTTAGAAGGTAGCATAGACTAAATTTAAGGGACATCTTCATCTCCAAAATATTTGTCTAAAAATTTACCCATTAGACATTCCTGTGAGTAAACAGGAATGGCTGAAGTGGTAAGGAATGGGAGAGCCTCCCAATGAGTTAATGGATCACTAAAGAAAAGGAATGAGAATTTCAGTGAATGGCATGTGTTGGGAGAGAGCTGCTGAGCGAGTTCCAGACGTGGACAACATGTAAGCACTGGGTCCTGAGGCCTCGGGGGAGTTGAGAGAAGTGACTGAAAGACTACTGGGAGTACTTTGCTTGGGACTGACACTATTATTATCTTATCAAAGACCAAGAGTAGCTATCCTTTAATCCACCCCTTTTTGATCTCTTGTATGAGGAGTTGGTGGAGGGGGAGAAAGTGAAAGGAGGAAGTAGTAAAACAAAGTCTGGAAAATGTTTCTTAGGGATGGGGCAGAAATTAAATATTAAGACTCAAATGGGTGCATGTAAGATCCTTTTTTTTTCTGTCTTTTTAAAACCAGCACAGACCCTTCCCAATGCTACACAAAAGTAGAAAATCTGTTAATCTGTTTTTAAGATCTTAGAGTCTTCTGGTGGTAGTAATGAGTAATAAAAAACCCCGGAGATGTAGTCAGAGTGATGTGGAATAAAAACAAAGAAAACTGATAATTTAACACTTGCCGTCAGCCTCCAGATAATTTGGATTTGAGCCAGGGGTTTTGGCAGTCCTATTTTATAGCCAACATACTTTTGTCCCTATTCTGGTTTTCCTTTTGTGTTTCACTTCTCTTTTTTCAATTTTTAAAAATTTTATTGAATTAATTTTTATATTTTTAAGTAGCAGGTAAATACTATGATAAGGTTCCTTTCTGAGGAATTTAATTTAAAATGCTTTTATTATAACTTGCCATTTTATTGTATTGTTAATGGTTGTAATCAAATGCTTTTTATAATAGTAAATTCCTGTTGGAATATTAAAGTCAGTAAAAGGTATCTCTCATGTTTTATCTTATAGTTTATGTTTCATTTAAGAAGATCTCCTTTCTTGCAAGTTTTTAATAATAGTCCAGATGAGAGTTCTTATTACCGTCACCATTTTATGCGTCAAGATCTGACCCAGTCTCTAATTATGATTCAGCCTATTCTCTATGCATATTCTTTTAGTGGACCACCAGAGGTAAGAGGGGAAGAAAAAATATATATATATGTTTTTTTTTTAGTTACTGTGATGTGTGGCATTAAACAGGTGAAACCAACTAAATGTTTTTGAAATGTAGTTACTAAATATAAAATAATTAAAATAATGGTTATCCTTAGCTATGCATATATTCATTCAAAAAGTATTTATGAGTGCTTATTATATGCCTCATACTAGGCTAGGCCGTATTTGGGAAATCATAAAAAAAATAAAATAAGGTGGAAGGGACTGTTAGATTATTTCATCTGGTCTTTGCTTTCATGCAGGTGGTTGATCAAATCCTCTAGGACTTATGATTATCTTTTCATCTCTAACCGTGTCCAGAGTGATGATGATTCTGTGGCCTATAGCTTATTCCAGAGTTGAATATCCCTTACTTTAATATAATCTCAATTTTTCTCTGGTGTTTTGTAAACATTAAACAGTCAATTATGAAGACATATACTTAGAAGAGTGATAAACTCATCTACTTAGCCTTCTTAGCAAACTGTCCCACTTCCTATAACCTGTTTTCAAATAAACATTTTTTTTTAATTTCTATAGTTAAAATTGTCTGCTTAACCACTTAAAATATATAATGACTATTTTTGAAAATAGTACTTTTAAAGAGGTCATTATAAAGAGACAGTTTAATAGTATCTATTGATTATGATCCCTTATAATGCCTTTATTTGCTGTTTTGTAAAATAGTGGATAATATGTTATTTTGTTACTACGATTTTATTAGTGATTTTTGTGTGACTCATTTCTACTTTTCTTGGAGAATATACTTTTGAAAAAATATTTAAATCTAGCTGTATATTTTGTACTTTGAATCAGAAAAGAAAGCTTTAGAAATAACCCTTATTTCAAAGTAACATAAATTGTAGACATCTGAAAATATAGAATAGTGTTTAGGAAAAAATTGGAATCCTACATCCACAGTGCCTGCTCCTATCAAATTCCAGCCTTTCCATTTAATCACGAATCCCATTAACTTCGTTTCCTTAAGGCTTTGCGGTGGGAGTTATCCTCTTTCTCTCCTGCATCATCACTCACTTTCTCCCTCTGGATCATTCTCATTAACATCAACACAGTCCTTAACAGTACTCATATTAAAAACAAAACAAAACAACAAAACTTTGACCTCACATTTTCTTTAATTGCTAACCCATTTCTCTGTTCCTGTCACAGCTAAACTCATGCAAGTTATTTGTTACCTCTACTTTCTCACCTTACATTCTCCTCTCAGCCTACATCAGTCAGACTTTTGTCCCTGTCAATATACTGAAGTAACTGCCATCAAGGCCACCAATGTCCTGTGTCTTGACAGAACTCTCAACAGCATTTACCTAGTGATGACTTTCTCCTTGAAAATGTTTTTGCTCTAGGCTTTTATGACAGGTACTATACTTACCTGGTTTTTCCTCATCCCCACTGACTGCTCCTTGTTAGTCTCTGTTCGCTGGCTTCTCCCCTTCTCACCTCAAAACGTTGGCATGCTCCAAGGCTCAATCTTCTGGCCTCTTCTCTCCCCCTAAGTGATGTAGTTTAATTACATTGGTTTAAATGCCATCTTTATGCATGTGATTCCCAAATTTATATCTTTGATCCACGCCATTCCTTTTAATTCCATATTCAGAACTATTTATTTTTCTACCTGCTCTAAGTTTGCTCTATCCCAAGCCTTTCCCATCCCGGTCAGTGGTGTCACCATCAGCATAGGAATCATCCTTGATTTCCTTTTGATTTTACTGTTTATTTTTCAGTTGTTTGTTACCACAGTACAGAGATTTCTTAAAAATTAAGTTAAAATGTACTGTGAAACTAGTAATAACACAGGATTTTAAGTAGTAAAATATAAATTTAAAAATATCCTGGAGAGATCTATTAGGTATCTTTAAAGTAACTGATTTATTTCTCCTTTCCCCTCTCTCATTGTTTCTTCATGTTAGCCTGTTCTTCTTGATAGCAGCAGCATCCTTGCAGATCGTATTCTTCTCATGGACACCTTCTTCCAGATTTTGATTTATCATGGTGAGGTAAGATTCCACAGCATTTACAGCACTACAGTAAAGTCTTTTTATTCATGGAGGTTTTTTCCCCCTCTACTATTTGGCTAGTGTTTTGTCTGTGATAAGCTTTGATTTCCGTTTTTATACAATATATATAATGTGATTCTTCCTACCTCAAGTTTTTAGGCTTCATTTGCAATTGACCCACCTGTAATTATCTTGCCCATTTGTCCACACATGATTGAACAGATGGATTTCACACAAAGCCTAGTGTTGTGAAAGCAAGAGCGTTGAAATATACATATGCATTAATCAGTTCAGCTCACAGTATCATGCTTTTGGATTTTTACATGAAGACATTGAGATAGGAGAAGTCTGTCTTTAAGTAGCCATTATGATTTTAATCTAGTTATTTATCAGGACTCTATTTATTGCATTTATTCACTCAGCTGGTATTTAACACCTTCTCTGTGTAAAAAAGCACTGTACTCTGAATACTTTGGAAGAGAGACAGAGATTTATCTTTCTTGGATCCACACCCAAGCTTACATTCTAGTATTTTAGTAACTTGTGCAGATTTATTTTTCTAGTTGTTTCACTTGTAAATGATTTTAGATTTGTGCTGCAATAGCAGAAGTGTTACTCAGAACATCCTTTTAGCTAATATTATCTAAGACTTTAAAAATATTTAATGATTATTATTTTTATTTGATACCAGTTTCTAATGCTTTTTACTTTTTAGATTAAACATTTTAAAGAACAATGCTTATAATATTGGTAGACCTAGTTTTTTTGCTTATTTGTTTTTTGGTAGCTTCTGCTGCTATAAATAGCCTGTTAAGTGCTTAAAGGGAAAGTCAGAAATGCATGTGACTATCCTCTATTAAATACAGAGATAATAAAGTTATACAGAATGTATGTTGATTAATTGAGTTAATTTAGAAAGTAAGCCAGGTTTAAATTTATGTTGAGTTAATTACATGGTTTCTGTAGCCATTTACCTTAATAAACAAATTGATTCAGATGCTCTTCTACAGGCATATTAACCTTATAATGTTATTGCTGTTATTGTTAAACTTTTTATGTTTCTGTGTCTTGCCAAAATGTAACTCTGTTAGTAAAGACTTCATAATAGTAGATCATCAATTTTGAAATCTTTGTAAAGTCTCTTGTAATACAAACCTCCCTCGTTTATCTTAAGCTTAGGTATATAGCTTTTCGTTAACATTAATTTGATAAACATAGTGTTTTAAATTTTTTCTGACGTAATTATTATTTCTTTTTACTCTTAGAGTAGAACTATCCTAATTTTTCATCTGTTTACTTAAAAATATTTTTTCTACTGAAATTGTACTCATAACTTTAAAAATTAAGATAAATTTATAGTTTTCTTATTTTTTGAAGATTACTTCCTTTGAAAAAGTCTTCTCTTAAAATTTTTGGGTGGGTAAGAAATTAAAAATAATAATTTCTTTAATTGTTTCAAAATTAGACCATAGCACAGTGGCGCAAGTCAGGATACCAGGACATGCCGGAATATGAAAATTTCCGCCACCTTCTGCAAGCCCCAGTGGATGATGCACAGGAGATCCTTCACTCCAGATTCCCAATGCCAAGATACATCGACACCGAACATGGGGGCAGCCAGGTAAGTGGTGTGTGTTTGTGTGCTGATAGGTTTGTGATGAAGTGTTCCTATTTATCCGCTTACTGCTTCACAAGGCAAAGGGAAAGGGAAGGAGAAGGGCAAGAGAAAGTATCCAGTGCTTGCTTTTTGTATTAGCTTTAAGATCAAAACAGTAAGATTATTGATTACTTGCCTAATGCTGGCAGTTTCTCCCATCTGCTCCCTCTAGCCCAGCTCTAGTAACAGAGCCAGAATGGCATTATGGTGCTCTGCCAGCTTCAGTTGAGCAAGAATTGGTGAACAGCTTGGGAAATGATTTAGTGTACCTTTCTTAAAACTGTCTTTTTACTGGTAAAATCTATGAATAATAAGTTTGTGGTAACATACTTTTCTTCTACTTTCCTGATCCCATCATTCCAGTTTTCTAGAAAATAAATAGTCATGTAATGGGAGAGTATTATAAAAGAAGGCAGGATTTGTGGTTTTTAGAATTAAGAGGATTAAATAAGATATATGTATGTACACACACCCCTTTTGGACCCTTCAGGCTAGGGTAGGTCCCCTTACCATACACTCATAAGACTCTACTTCTCCCTTGTAATTTTTATCAGTTATAATAAATTAATTGTAAGTTTTATAAATTTATTTCACTTACTCCTTGAAGGCAGGGGTCATGCTGTGTTCATTACTGTATTCCTATTTGCAAGCACAGTATTACATAAAAAAAACCAAACCAATTGCCGTAGAATCGACTGCAACTCATAGCTACCCTATAGGACAGAGTAGAACTGCCCCATAGGATTTCCAAGGAGCAGCTAGTGGATTTGAAGTGCTGACCTTTTGGTTAGCAGCCAAATGCTTAACCACTACACCACCAGGGCTCCATAGTAGGTAGCAAATATCAGTAACTATTATTCAGAAATGACAGCAATTATTAATAGGATTTTACTATGTTTATAATAGGAGCTACCATTTATTGAAAGTTTGCAAAGCATGTAGTTAGCACTTTATATGTCTTATCTCGTTTGATTCTCATGAAAGTCCTATTGTTATTTCCATTTAATAGATAATAAAACTGAGACTTAGGTTAAGCATCTTGGCTAAGGAAACACAGTAAATGGAGGAGCTAAAATTTGAATCCAGGGGTTCTGACTCCAGAGCCAGTACTCTTTTTTTTCTTTCTTTTATTTATTATGCTTTAGGTGAAAGTTTACAGCTCAAGTTAATTTCTCATACAAAAATTTATAGACATAATATTATGTGACCCTAGTTGAAATCCCTATAACGTGACAGTGCACTCCCCCTTGTCACCTCAGGTTTCCCATGTCCATTCAACCAGCTCCTATCCCTTTCTGCCTTCTCATCCCATCTCCGGACAGGAGCTCTTCATTTAGTCTCGTGTATCTACTTGAACTAAGAAGCACACTCTTTATGAGTATTGTTTTATGTTTTGTAGTCCAGCCTAATCTTTGAAGAGTTGGCTTTGGGAATGGTTTTAGTTCTGGGTTAACAGAGAGTCTGGGGGCTATGTCTTCTGGGGTTCTTCCAGTCTCAGTCAGACCCTTAAGTCTGGTCTTTTTACTAGAAATTGAATGCTGCACCTCACTTTTCTCCTACTCTGTCAGGGACTCTCTATATGTTTCCTGTCAGGGCGGTCCTTGGTAGTTGCCAGGCACCATCTAGTTCTTTTGCTCTCAGGCTGATTGAGTGTCTGGTTTATGTGGCCCTTTTGTCTCCTGGGCTGATGTTTTCCTAGTGTCTTTGTTGAGAGCCAGTACTCTTGACTGTTGTGCTAAACTGCTTATTTATAGAGTAGAAAAAATTTTTGTATGATAGTAAATTTCAAAAGATATGGCTGCTTATGTTTTTCCAGTATGAAATAATTTATGACTGGTTCTCCCACTGATGTCTTACCATGTCCAGTGCTATTTTCCTCTTTTATTCTAGTTAAACTATTTTTGTGATAATAAGCTGTAGTGCATATATGGGTGAAATGTTGGAGAAGTTTGTCTCATGGAAGTAGCCTGCAGTTTAAAGAAGTTTGCATCATTGTTTAAAGTAGAAGAATATGTACATTTTCATGGTTTTTATTTACTTTTTAAATTTTTTATTTTGTTGTTGAGAATATATACAGCAAAACATACACCAATTTAATAGTTTCTCCTTGTACAATTCAGTGACATCGATCACATTCTTTGCGTTGTACAACCATTCTGACTCTCCTTTTCTGAGTTGTTTCTCTTCCATTAGTATAAACTTACTGGCCCCTAAGGTTCCTATCTAATCTTTCAAGTTCTGTTATCACTTTTTTTTTTTTAATTTTTTTATTGTGCATTAGGTGGAAGTTTACAGAACAAATTAGTTTCCCATTCGATAGTTTGTACATAAAGTGTTCCATGACATTGGTTCCGTTCCCCACAATGTGTCAGCACTCTCCCCATTTCTGCCCTAGGTTCCCCGTTTTCCTTTCGTCCTGATACTCTACCCCGTCTTGCCTCCTCATCTTTACTTTTGGGCAGATGTTGCCCTTTTGGTCTTGTATAATTGATTGTTCTAAGGAACATGTTCCTCTCAGGTGTTATCGTTTATTTTATGGGCCTGTCTATGGTTTTGGCTGAAGGGTAGTCTCTGGGAATGGCTTTATTTCTAGTTCAGAAGCGTGTCTTAGAGCCACAGTCTTGGGGGACGAGTTCTGTTGTCATTTTGACACCATGTAGATAGTTCTTAAAAGAGCATAATGCTCAAGCAGACATTTTTTATTAGTTAAGCTAAACTATTGTTTGATTTTAGGAAGATTTCAGGGGATATTTTTTCGTTTGTGGTTTAAAGATTATCTCAAGGCAATAGTTTCAGGGGTTCATCCAGCCTCCAGAGCTCCAGAAAGTCTGGAGTCCATAAGAATTTGAAATTCTATTATATATTTTCCCCCTTTTGATCAGAATTCTTCTATAGAATCTTTGATCAAAATGTTCAGTAATGGTAGTGGCTACCATACAGTTCTTCTGGTCTCATGGCAAAGGAGGCATTCATGGTTTTTATTTTTATTATTATTTGGAAATGTGAACCTCTGATGATATTTCAGATCAAGTGTTTAGTAGATTTCACACTTTGACATAATTGTTGCACATGTAATTTTTATATTTTGAGTTTTGAACTTAATTCATTATTTATTATGAATATTATAAGTTGATAATTTAGAAAGAAGAGTTCATTTATTATTTGTAACATAAATATGTGGTATACATGCTTCAAAGTTTAGTTCATATTTTTAAAAAGTTATATTTTAATAAAATAATTTTACTAAAACACTTTAAAAAAAATTGATTTTAGATAGCATAATGTATTCACTTAGCTTATGTTGACTAAATCTGTTTTGATGGATAACGTTATTTCTTCTTTGCTTTTAAGGCTCGTTTCCTGCTTTCAAAAGTCAATCCTTCACAGACTCATAATAATATGTATGCCTGGGGACAGGTATGTGTAAATAGCAAATCTTGGAAATTATTTTTTTGTGTATTTATAGTTTGTTGTTATAGTGACAGCTACATTTTTTCCTATGTATTTAGTAATGGTATCTGTTGGAAAAGTAATGAAAAAATAAGAGTAGAAAATAGAATTATTAATTTGGTGACACCATAGAGAATAAAAAAGTGATCATATGAAATAGACAGAGCCCCTTTGTATTCCAAATTTAGCACTACACCCTTGAGACAAAGAGCAATAAAACATATAATATAAAATAGGAAGTGATGGTTTAAGGTTAATGCCAGGCCATGAACCATAAGAGGCCATGGTAAGCCAGGAAAGGCTAGGGAATATAGTTGAGCAGCAGAGGCAGGAGGCCTGGAAATCATTACTGATATATTTTTATTTGGTAGAAAGCCTACTTCCTGGTATAATACATCAACATTTATTAAGTGTCCAATATGTGTGTAGGACTCTGTATTGGAACTGCAGGCTACACAGTGATCATCCCTGCCTTTGAAAAGCTTGTAGTCTAGTAATAGAGATAAAATAGATACCTAAATAATTAAAATGCCAGTCAGAACGGAAAATGTGCCTTAAGAAAGATATAAAGTATTATGGGGAGTTAGAAGAGGAAGAGGGCAAGAGGTCACATGGTGACAGCAGGAGAGAGTGTGGGATCAGAAAAGAGACCAGAAAGAGGGGACAGTTACTTTAAAGGATTATGATTATTTCAAAATTGAAAATTGCATGGGAGATGGAATTCTAGATAGAGGATAGCATGGGCAAAGGTATCGAGTACATGTTTAGTATGAACAGTGGAAGATAAAACTGGAAATTAACTGTGCAGCCAAATTAGGGAGGATCTTAAATTCCAGGTTGAGGATGGAGGAGTTGTGCCTTTATTTAGTAAGTAATGGAGAGCCATCGAAGGCTTTTGGGCAGTGCAGTGAAGTTGAGAGTTAGATAATAGTTGAGTCGTAAGATTAATTGGGAACAGTGTGTAGATTGAAATGGAACCTATTGAAGTAATCCAGATGAGAGGAACAGAAGGTGAGGTGATGAAAAGAAGGAGTAGATACGAGAGATATTTCACTGGCAGTAAAGTAGGAGGGAAAATCAAAAGCTAATTCAGGGTATGACAACATAATGCAACGTTCGAATGTTGATTGGATCTTGGATTAGAGGGAGGACAACAGCTATAAAGAACATAATTGGGACACTTAGTGAAATATGAATTTAGACTCTATATTAGGTGACTAGTCAAATACTGTTAAATTCCATGAGTGTGATATGGTGCTGTGGTTAAGTAGGACATGGCTCTTGATCTTTGGAGGTATATCTTGAAGTATTTAGAAGTGAAATGTCATAGTATCTTCAACTTGCAGAAATGATTCAACAAAAAGAAGAAAAAAAGAAATATATAAAAAGAACACTAAAGCAAATGTGACAAAATATTAACAATCAGTGCATCCAAGTGTAGGTCATGTGGATATTCATTTTACTTCTTTTTCAACTTTTCTGTAGGTTTGAATTTTTTTAAAAATAAGTAGTTGAGAGGAGAAAGGTAGTTCAGAGTTTTGAGCCTGGGTGACTAGAAGAACGCATGCCAGTAAGGAGAGTGGAGAGAAAATGTTTGATTTTAGAAACATTGAGATATCATCTAGATGGCCATATTGAGTAAGCTATTGGAAATGTGAGTCTGGTGGTCCAGGCAAGGATGTGAAAGTTGATTCTAGGTGATATTTAAAGTCATCAGAGTAGATGTTTGTCTGAGGAGAGAGTAGAGAGGCAGAGATGAGAGAAAAACTTGAGGAAGTACAAGTATTTCGTTCTGTTGTATATAGGGTTGCTATCAGTTGGAACTGACTCAACAGCATCTAACAACAACAACAGAAGCAACAACAACAACAAAGAAGTGGATAAATGCCATAAATATAAATGATTCTTTTGCAAATTAGCCTAAGGATAAATAGTAGGATAGAAGGATGATAGAGTAAGAGCACAGAACTTATTTATAGGCCAAGTGTAAGGCCCATATGGGGGAGACACAAAAAACAGATGATGGATTGTTTAAGCTCCCAGAAAGAAGACAGTGTGTTCCCAGGCACCATACGGGGCTAAGCATTGATAAGGATGTAAGACATTTCATACTGCAGAAGCAAAGGGTGAGAGGAAGGATGAAGATACAGAAAGATTGTTGAGGTGGAGAGAAACCTCACATTGGATAATTGCCTGTTTTCAGTAATAGGAGATTATTTACTGAGAGTGAGAGGAGCTGGGGTTAAGGACTAGAAAACAGAAAAGATTGAAAAACAGCTATTAGGAATATGATAAGAAATCAACAGAGGATGAATAAAGGGCTTTTAGAACAGTGGTGAGGCCCATTTTATTTACTAACGATTCCGAGAACATGCCTCCCTAGTGTTCTTTAACCATGCTTTATAGTTCAGGTGCTGGGTCAAAGATGAAAGACTTAGGAGTAACAGGACTGGAGATGAAAAAGACGGAGACATTAAAAAGGGGGTATAATAATTTAGAGCACTGCTAAATGACTGTGGGATCCAAGCTGGGTAGAAGATACACGAAGCAGTAGTTGAGATCCAAGCCCCTTGCTCTTGAATATAGAGCTTCCTCAAAATTTTGCCCTCATTTCTCTACATTCACTGTTTATCAGGATGATTGTGTGTACTCCTACGGCTTCAGCATTCGTCTGAGGCTAACCTACAAATCTCCATCTTCTGTATTCCCATCTTCTACATCTCCAGCTATAGACTTGAATTTTTATAACTACCTGCTGCACTTCACTTGAGTTTCCTGTAGACATTTCAAAAGCAGCATGCCCCAACCTGAACTTATCTCAGCACACTATCTTGTTCTTCCTGACTTTTTATTTTTACAGGGGCGCCATTATCTCAATTCCCAAGGCCTTGAACTTCAGTTACTTATATTTTCTTCCTTCTTCCCCTAATTATTCACAAATGTTTTGACCTATTTCCCCTATACATCCCTTCCTTCCCGTATCATTAACTGAGGTCGCGTCCTTATTGTTTTTCATCTGGCATTACTGCTAACTGGCCTCAGTGCTTGAGCCTTTTCTTCTGCTCTGGTAGTGACCAGAGTAGTCTTTCTAAAGCAGGTCCGAATGTCACAGCACTGCTCAGAAGTCTTCAGTAACTGCCTGTTACATATAAATCCTTTATTTTGCTATTGAAGGCCCTTTACAGTATGATCCCCAAATCTTGTTCTGCCTTCAGCTACTTAGTTCTTTTAGGCAACCTGAATTTCTTGCTTCACTTTGAATACACTGAACGTGTTTCCATCTGTGTGATTTTGTCCCTGTCATCATATGAACACATTCTAGCTATCCCTCAAGTCTCAGGTCAAAGTCCACTGGCTTCATGAAACCTTTCCTATGATTGCATGACTGGATTTGTGTTGACATCCCTGCTCCTTCATCCCTTTTTTCCATTCCTTTCTTTTGCCAGTTATTTCTCCTGTTAGATTATAAATTACTTGAGGGCAAGAATTATGTCATTTTCAATTTTGGCTTTCCTTAAACATAGCACATACTGAATATAATAGGTCTAGACAGGTGAGCAGAGATTAAGAGCATGGGAGGTCTGTGGAGATGATCAGGAGTTAAGAAGGTTTTACAGATATAGATAAATCCAAGGTCTGAAAGTTGGGAAGGTTTATAGCAAGGAAAGAAACTTAATGTTTTTAGGTATGGGAAGGGTACATAGCACATATGACAGAAAAAATTTATATCCATCTAATGTATGTATTATGATAGCCTCAATATCATTCCTCACCCCCCAGCAGGTGAACCAGACCTCTTGCTAGGGGGTGGAGGGACAAAAAGCCAGGTACAATACTGTGATGTGGAAGTTTAGAGCATAGAATGTACCGTGAACCAGCTTTTCCATTATACTTAACTCGAGGCAATTAAGTATTACTGGTTTTAGTTTTCTATCCCATCAACTTCAGAGGAATTTAGAGGTAGTTAAGAAACGAAGAAAATTGTAAGAGGATAGAAAAGTAATACAAATAAATAAAGTTCAAGGAAATAATGATTGATCAGTATGGAGAAGGGGAGGTTAAAGGATTCTTCACAATAGTTATTTGTCAGAGGTCATACATCAAATGCTGTAGGGGTTGGGTAAGTAACAAATGAGTGAAGCTGGCTAGGTATGAGAAAAACTGCCACCCTCAGTGTCAAGAAACAGTATACCATGGTGAACTAGGATTTATGGTGAGAGTACACAAAATCTTGTCTAAAGGGGGCAACTGCTTTTCTTTTGCTGATTGTTTCCATTCACATAATTCAGCATAAGAAAGTGTTATGCAGCCCAAATAACACATGTCTCTCTCCGGCTAGATTTCTGCATTTAAATTTTTTAAATCACATTTTGTGGTTTCATTCATGGGAAATAGTGACTAGTTATTCCTTGTTTTTTGGGGGTTTAAATTTCAACATGGAGAGATGCAGTTGGTAGGCTTATAAAGAACTTACTGAGTTGTTAAACATGGAGAGGCATCATTAGGGGGTGGTAGTTGAGAATGCAGACTCTGGTGCCAAACAGTCTGATAGAATCTCATTCCCTCACCTGCTGACCATGCAACCTTCAGCAAGTTACTTAACTTCCCTGCCTTAGCTTCCTTGTTGACAGAGTTTTCTGTGGTATGCACAGTAATGCTGAGTGAATATTCAATATAGTTTTCATTGTCATCAGTGGGAAAAAAGTCTCATGAAGATTTTAAAATAGGACGGATAACTTTGAAGTTTAATTATTACTGCCTGTATATAGGGGTGTTAGGGGCATAAACAAGATGAGTACTATGGTCTTTCTCGACCTATGATTTTGTAGGAGAAATTATGTTAATGTTTTTATAGGCAATAATCATAAAAATGATAACTAATAAATTGAATCCCTACTATGTTTTAGTCAGTATGCTAAGCTTTTTGTGCACTCTTACTTAGTTGTTAAAAAAGTCCTATGAGATAGGTACTACTAACCCTATATTTCAGAAGAGGAAATTGAGGCTTATAGAAGTTAACTAATGTACCCACAATCACATGGCTAAACTGTGGCAGAGTCCACATGTGAACCCAGGTGAGTCTGACTCCAGAATATGAATTTTTGATCTCTCAGCTAATTTGATTATTGCAGTTTAGGGAATTTACTTGGTAGTCAAGCAAAATGATGGACTCTTAATATCTTAGTTCTCTTTTTGTCAAAAATCAAGTACCTAGTGATAAATAATATCCTCGAATGGTCTGAAGAGGGCACCACTGCCACATGGCTTCTGTTGAACGGTGCTGCAGGCTTCATATTCTAAATGGTGAAAAGCTTGGACCTTTCTGCCTAATCCTGGATATACTTCAAAGAGAAAAAGGGCCCATTTAAAAAGTTGAGATCAACCAACTGCTAATTTTTTATAAAATTGAGCATTATTATTTATAATTTCAAATAAGATGTAAATTTATAATTTCAAATAAGATCTAATAAATATATAAATTAGAAAATCTGAATCTGTTTTGTCTTGATTGGGAGAAATGGATCTGTAAATTGAGATGGAAAACGTGTATGTTAACCATGAATGTAGACTCAGGAGAAGTATTTCAGTGTTAATTTTATAATAGAGTTTTCAAAAGAAGTAATAATAAAAATAGCTAAAACGTGTTGGGTGCCTACTGTGTGTGCCAGGTATTGTTCTAATTGTTTTACACAATTTAACACATTTAATCTATGGAGGAGGACATCATGATTGGTAAAGTAGAGGGTCAGTGAAAAAGAGGGAGGCCCTCAATGAGATAGATTGCCACAGTGGCTGCAACTCAGGCATAGCAACGATTGTGTGGATAAGGTCACTATGAGTCAGAGCCACCTGAGTGGTACCCAACAACAACAACAATCGTTAACGACTGTGTGAGATAGGTCCTGTTATTATCCTTATTTTACAGATAAAGAAGCTAGGACAGAGGTTAAGTAACTGCCTAAAAGTGACATAGGTAAAAAGTGGCAGAAACAGAATTTGAGACCAGGCAGTCTGACTCGACTCTATGCTGCCTCCCTTCCTGATCAAGTTTTTCAAGTACTTTTGAATTAGCATCTGAAAACGTGATCAAATTCATTTTCCTTCATTGTGCAGATGTCGTGGCATGACTGGAACCACAAGAATTATAAATTCTTACCCACATTTGCCTAACTTGCTGATCTCTTCTGAAAAATAATTTCCTTGTTTTAGATGTTTTAATATTTATAAAGAAGTAAGAATTTGAGTATTGGATAAAAAATTTAAAGTCCAGATAAGAAATATTCCAGAAATACTTTCTTTTTGGCTATAGTAAAATTTTATTATTAATGGATTGATCACTAGTATCATTCTGTCAACACATTTTTTATTAAAATAGAAATTAGGGGGTTTTCCCTGACAGTTGTTAATTACTTACAACCCACAGATATCAATTAAAATGACTTGAAAACTGATAAACATAGTTTATTTAAAAAGGATATTACAAAATCACTTCCTTCCAGCTGGCATTTCTGTTAAAATATATACAATTGGGATTTTATTTTAGTAAACAGGCAGCAGTAATCTCACCTACGGAGACTTATTCCTTAGTAGTGATAAAAGCACCAATACATTCTAGACTAATTAATCACTTTATTATTTTAACAATTAAGTTGAATATGGAGTATAGGCATTAGTCTACTTAAAATGATTTCCTTGTCTATTTTAAGTATTTGCTTATACATTGCTTATATATCCAAGGGTGTCATCCTGTGTTTTAGTAATCATAGCAATTCTCTTTTCCTCTAGGAGTCTGGAGCACCTATTCTCACAGATGATGTTAGTTTACAAGTGTTTATGGATCACCTGAAGAAACTTGCTGTGTCAAGTGCTGCTTGAGTTGCTAAATATATTAAGGACACTTAAGAAAATGGAGTAATATTTTAATTTCATTATTTTTCCTTTTTCAGTTCATCTGTGGAAACCAACAGAGATATTTAGACTCTTTTGTATTAGCATGGTTTGAGACAACTTAGGGAAAAATGTTCACGTTTGTAGATTAAGCTGCAATTTAATGAGAGCAGTAAGAACAAATTCATTTTGCTTGCCACAGTATTATAACTGGTTTCAGAAATATGAAGTCTTTATAATTTAATTATGTTTAAGAGTAAAAATAGAGTCTGCCATATACTCCAGAGACATAGCTTGTTTGTATGTAGCAGACAAATCCAAGGTGGCACTGAATGTCCTTGCGGACCTTTTGAAAATTTCTTAATTTTAGCTAGAAAGTAAACAAAATTACCAGTAATGATAATGTGAACATTTTTTGCTTATTCATTGAATATTTTTCTGTGATTTTCTGCACTTACTTGTATGCTTTTTATGTACTGTTCTGTTAAGGCAGATTTATTTTTATGATGATTTGACTTTATATGTAATAATTTTCATGGAGCTAATTTAATGTTTTTGTTCATTTGGAAAAATAGAACCAGTTTAGAGATTAAAAGTTTTTTGGAGGTAAAAACCATACAGCTGACAATAAGTGTGAAATTCCCACAAAGTACCCAACTTATGCGATTAAATAATATAATTTTTTTGAAAAGGGAGATACAGAATAAACCATTTTGTCAGTGCATTTTAGAAAAGCCTTTGCAGTAAAACGAGTGTCGTAACTACTAACCCAAGTTTAATTTTCACTGCATGGTTTGGCTTTTTCCCTTGTTTTTCTGAGGACAACTTTTAATTATATCCTTCAGTATTTTAAGACTATTTTCGGAGTTTACACATTACTTTTTGTTTCTGCTTCCTTTTTTGTGAACAACTCATTAAGTTGGAGTTCTTGTTGAAACAGTATTATATAATATTTTGTTTAATTATATCATGTGATGATGCTCAGTTCTGTTTTGATTTTTTCATAGTATCATTCACTTTTACCTTTTAAAGTTTACTTGTAGCAGATATGTTTACATTTAAAGCCGAATATGTTTTGATAATGAAATTTACACTAAGTGCTGCGAAGGGAAGGTGGTGCTACGATCTACGCTTGGAAAACAGTTCTGATGATCGCACTTGCATGAACACCATCATACGATGGTAAAACAGGCAAAAACTTAAAAAATGTTTACATGTTATATTCGATTAGAGTAAATAAATTGCTGTGTTCCAGTTTATTTCGGGTGAATTGTGCTAGGCCTAAATACCAATAAAATATACCTATTTCTCTGCTTTTCTGCTCATCTTGAAATCTAGTAAAACCTGAGAAGCCTAATGTAAAATTGGAGTATTTAAAATACGCTATTAACAGATTAAAGCATTATTCGTTTTTTTAAATAACAGCTTTGTTGTTGTTGCGTGCCATTGAGTCTATTCCTACTCCTAGTGGCCCCATGTAACAGAGTAGAACTGCCCCATAGGGTTTCTTAGGCTGTAGTCTTTATGGGAGCAGATTGCCAGGTCTTTTCTCCTACAGAGTTGCTGGTAGATTGAAGCTGCTGGTGAATTCAAACTGCCAACTCCCCGCAGCTGAGCACTTAACCATTGTGCCACCAGGGCTTCTTAATAACAGCTTTATTGACATATAATTCACATATATATAAAACTATATTTTATATATATTTAAGTATATTTACATATATAATAAATATATATTTATTGTAGTTAGTTGCTGTTGAGCTGATTCTGACTCATGGTGAACCCATGAGCTACAGGGTAGAACTGCTCCATATTTCTTGGCTGTAATCTTTACAGAAGCAGATCACCAGACCTTTTTTCTCTGGCACTGCTGGGTGGGTTCGAACTGCCATGAAAGGTTGGTGGTTGTATATAGTCCCTGAGTGCTGCAAATGGTTAAGCGCTCGACTGCTAACCTAAAGGTTGGTGGTTTGAGCCTACTCAGCAGTGCCATGCAAGAAGGGCCTGGCCATCTGCTTCCATAAAGATTACAGCCAAGAAAACCCTATGAAGCAGTTCTACGCTGTCACACATGGGGTCACCATGAGTCAGAATCAACTCAGTGGAAATTAAAAAAAAATAAACACACAGATGGATTGATTGGCTTTAAGGAATTGGCTCATGTGATTGTGGGGGCTGGTAAGTTCAGATTTCATAGGTGAGGGGACAGGCTGGAAACTTTGTGTCCAGAATCGACCCAGTGATGGGCAGGATGTCTATTTACAGTGTGGAGGAAGAATCTTTTTCTCTCAGGAAACTTAAATGTTTGCTCTTAAGGCCTTCAACTGATTGAGGCCCACCCACATATGGGTAACCTGCTTTACTTAAGGTCAACTGATTTAAATGTTAATTACATGTAAATAACTTCATAGCAGTATCTAGACTAGTGTTTAACCAAACAACTGGGCATCATAGCCTAGCCAAGTTAACATAAAATTTACCATCCTACCATACAATTTACCCATTTAAAGCATGCAGTGGCTATTATACATTCATAGAGTTGCACAATCATCACTACAGTCAATTTTAGAGCATTTTCATCATTCCAAAAAGTCATTTGTTTTTGCTGTAAGGAAATTGTACTTCGGAGTTCACATGTTTCAAGAAAGACCCTATGATGATGATACGTGTTTTATTTGCATGGCCCCTGAAGAGTGATATTTCTTGTCCTGAGTGATAGTGTTCCTTGTTGTTAGTTGCCATCGAGTCAATTCTGACTCATGGCAACCCCATGTGTTACAGAATAGAACTCCATAGGGTTTTCTTGGCTGTAATCTTGATGGAAGCAGATCACCAGGCCTTTTCTTGCACAGTACCACTGAGTGGGTTCAAACCGCTAACCTTTAGGTTAGCAGTCAAGCACAGACCATTTTCACCACCTAGAGACCTTACCTACCCCTTAATTGTCCTCTACTTCTAAATCAATTTGAAGATGCTAAAGAACTTCGATATTTCAGGGATAAGGATGAGCAAGTACACCATCATATTCTTTTAGCTTACTGTTTAAAACAAATCACCCTGGGTCATTTCTGTGTATAATTTAGAAATCTACTAGCTATTAAAATAGACTACTGGAAAAATCTTTAACCCTTTTAATGAACTTAAGGTGGATAAAGAATACTTGCTAAATTATCAGCAGCACCGTGAGAGGATTTGTTTGGCCCAGAACTGTTTTGGAATTTATTCCTGATCCTACTACCTCAGTGGCCTCGTATCTTAAAATGACCTTAGACCTCATTCGCATATACATATTTTGGTTTACCAGCATACATTTATTCTTTATTGGCAGATTCCAAAACTAAGCTGACATTTCTCTGTCCAGTTTCTGCTGATAAACTCTCCCCTCTCATATTCCCTAGCTCAGGGACTGCATCTGATATACTTAGTTGTCCTATTCAGACCAGAAACCAAGGAATTATTTTCAACTTCTTACTCTCCTCAACATCCTTGGTAACCAAGTTTGACCAAGTCAACCTCTCTAATATCTTTAATCTATTTACTGTCCTTCACCTTACTGCTGCTCTGTCTTCATCATAGTCCCCCTGGCTTGGTAAAACAGCCTCCTAACCAGTCTCCTTTTTTCCATCCTTTCTTCAGTTCACTTTCTACACTGCAGCAAGAATGCTATTTCTGAAATGCAAATGTCATTCACTTTAGCTCTCACAATAAATCCAAATGTTTTGGCCTGATAATATTGTATATATACATCAAATTGGACTGCAGCTCTCCCGTACAGAAACAGTACAAAGGACACAGTAGAAAAGGGTATTAGAGAGGGGTCTCTATTTCTACCTAAGCATTAATCTTAGGCCTGCTAGTTGGAATCTATATAGTGACAAAAGCAAATGTATTCTTTATTGGCTGCTACTAATCAAATGCTGTGGCTTATTGCACTTGGTTTTACTTTAAATGAGCCAGGTATTTTTCAGTTATTTTTCAAACAGCACCGACTTAAATTAGAATTACTTGCTTTCTAACCCCCATCTTTATATTTTTATTTTGTGTGTCTCTAGTGTACATGCATCTGTATTTTTTGTACTCTTATGTACTTGGTTTGTATTTCATCTTGAGCACTTTATCAAGTAATTCTCCAGATGTTTGTTTTTCTTGTTTGCTTTTTAATAGTACCCTGTGAAATTAAAACATTCTCCTTTCTTCTGTTCATTTTTCCTCCTTTGTTTAGTCTATTAAAACAATAGCCAGTCTAGGTTTAATGTATATAATCTAGCAAGTATAATAATATCCAGCTATGCAACAGTGAAATTACTGAAATTACTAAATTACTAAATAAATCCAGGTTTTTTTCTTCCCCACCTATGGATTATACTGACGTTGTCGTAAGTTGCACTTGAGTTGACTCTGACTCATGGTGACCCCGTGTTCAACAGAATGAACGGTTGCCTGGTTCTGTGCCATCTTTACAATCAGTGTGCTGCAGTCCATTGTTGAGCCCTAGATGGCTCATCTTCCAGCACTGTATCAGACAATATTCTGTTGTGATCCATTGGTTTTCAATGGTTAATTTTCAGAAGTAGATTGCCAGGTTTTTCTTTCCTAGTCTGTCTTAGTCTGAAAGCTTCACTGAAATCTGTTCATGGGTGACTCTGCTGGTGTTTGACATTTCAGTGGCATAGCTTCTGGCATCATAAAAAAAAAAAACCCAAACCAAACCCATTACTGTCCAGTTGATTCTAACTCATAGCAACCCTATAGGACACAGTAGAACTGCCCCACAGGGTTTCTAAGGGGTCGCTGGTGGATTCAAACTGCTGACCTTTTGGTTAGCAGCTGAGCTCTTAACCACTGTACCACCAGGGCCCCTCCAGCATCATAGCAACATGCAAATCATCACAGTGTGACAGACTGACAAGGGAGGTGGTGGTATGCTGACATAAAGCCCAATTATTTAGGTTGAGGACGAAATTGAATTTTTTTTCCAAAGAAAACTAGAAAAATATGTTAATGGTAATACTTTTTAGGAAGATAGATAAAAAATATTAACCTTAGACTTTGTTAGATCAATATAAAGTTAGGTATTTTTAAGAGTTAAGGATAACAAAGACCAAAACCAGAATATGTAACTTTCAAACTAAGATGTGTAACTTCCAAACCAGTAAAGAAAAAAGTTGCAATAAAAGTAATTTGATCAAAGAGAGGTATGAAAAATGAAAAAAGCTGCAAAGGAAAAAAAATGTGGTAAATAGGAAACAAGAAAAAAAAACGGATTAATACTTTTTTAGTATATCTTTTGAAAATGGAAAACCGCATCTATTTTATTGGTCTCTCACAGTAATAAATAATAACATTACATTTACTATTTTTTAGCCTCCTGCAAATTTGCCTCAGATTTCAGAAAAATGGATCTTTTCATATATTCATGTTCTACAGCGTATAGACAGATTTGTCCATCTATCTTTGTTCATAGTTGATTGAAGAGCATTCTCTTCAAACAGCAGATACACAAATAGGAAAAATATTAAACATAAAGATAAGTTTGGTAGAGATTCATAAAAATCTCATTTCATATTGAATTCCAGAATTTGTGAAGCTGTCTGATTATTTAGGATTGATTCTAGTGACTTTCAAATAGCTTCCTAGTTATAGCCACTAAGATATATAAAGCAGACAATTCAAGATAAATTTCGATTACATTTGGTGAAGACCTCCGAAGTTTTTCTTCTGCAAAAATTAGATAAAATGGCTGAATGAAGCTGAACATTGGCATTACTTGATCCACTGGTTTAGAACAAATGTCCAGTTATGGTTAAAATGATCAAGACATTTGAACATTGCCCCTTTGATTTCTTCTGGCCATGAAAGACCAGCATCTTCTGCTGTTTTTCTACCATTTGAAATTTGCTTCTTTTACTATGAAAATACCCATTTTTCTTACGTCTTGTTATTGTGTAGTTAGTGGCTTTTTCTGCAATTTCTGTGTGCTAATCTGCAGGGAACAATTTAAAGCTGTACATTGTTCAAGGCTGATTTAGATATTTCTAAATATTTGGGGTTCTGATTAACCTCATCTAAAACTTCACACCAGGAAAAATTTCTAAATTGAACTACTGATAAAATGATTTATTTTCTTGGTTAGTCCTTTAGTTGTAGAACAATTAACAATTTAAAAAGAAAATTAAATTTCAAAGTTAAACATTATTCAAATTCAGTAAAATGTTCTATGTACAAACTAAAATTTGCACTTAAAAAATTACAACTCAAAGTTCACACTCTTGTTTGTTCACAAATTAAAGCGCCAACTAGTCAC